TCATTTTTCAGGTAGTTATAACTTACAAAAGATTAAGTCTAACCTATTCCTAGAACAACTCAGAATGTTCCCATGAGGCTGCTAGATTGGCTTTACCTGATTCCAAATCCACTCTCCAAAGCCTTAGTAGAAGGGAGATAGAAGATGGAAAAAAGGACAGACTTGGCAGTAGAGGGGAAACAGCAAAAACCCCCCAAACAGCTGATAACATACCCAGAAAAGAATCCTGGAGAATGGAAGGAGCATCACAACAATATTCTGCTGAGAGCCTCCTGTTTTAACAGGGGAAGCATCAGGCTGTTTGCTTCTGCTCACAGGGAGGTTTTTGAGCACTGGATGAGTTAGAAAACTACTTGAAACCAACTGCATGAAGCAATTTTCATTTATTTTTAATGGCACAAACATTCAACCTCATTTTTATGCCTTAACTGCCACTGAAGATATGGTGACCATGGTTAGAGGATACAGAGAAAAGTTGTTTCTTGGGGTGGGTGACTCAGTTAAGAAATGGCACAGAATCCTAGGCTGGTTTGGGCTGGAAGGGACTTTAAAGATCATCTCATTCCACTCCCTGCCCTGAGCAGGGACACCTTCCACTAGCCCAAGGTGCTCCAGGCCCTGTCCAACCTGACCAGGAGCACTTCCAGGGCTGGGGCAGCCACAACTTCCCTGCAACTTGCAATATACTTGCAAACATGCAAATAAACTTAGTTGTAGAAAATGGCATGTCCCATGCATTCTCTGTAAGCATGCAGGAAACAATAAATGACAAATATATATATATATAAAATATCATCAAACTGACAAGAGACTAAATGATGAGCTGCAAAAATCAAAAATGCAAAGTAGTTCTTGTGACCAAAGCCAAGGTAAACTCCTGTGGATCAGTCAGACCTTAGGAAATTTTGCCTAGGGGACACCATCATAAGGAGCATTTCATACAAGAACTCATTGCTGCATTATTTTTATAGCTGTTTCAAAACTTTCTTTGTGGAAATTCCTTCCCATTTTCTGAACACTTAAGCCCAGTCTCTGTAGCAGATGTTAATCACACAGAAGCCACACAGTTCATTGGCATAAACCTGCTTCCAGTGTAACGTAATCCTCTTTCTTTCCCACTCATTGCATTACTACATTAGTCTTCTACACCTGACCTGTTAAGAAATCTCTTTATATTCCTTATTAAAAAAAATCGATCTGGGAAGCAACAAATCCTCCTGTTTCCAAGTGGCTCAGCTGTACCCATTACCTATGCTGTGTGATCTACAATCACCTTCATTGCTCCTTCTTTTCTAAAGATGAAGAAAATCCCATAAACACCACCATTCACTTCTTCAGGAATTTGGGATAGTGGAAGCAAACACAGAGACAGGTTGGGCAAGGATCCTAAATCCACACCATGAACATGTCCAGTGAGTGTTGGGAAGAGAAAAGCTACAGCATTTTCCTCTTCCAGTTGCTCCATTACCGTTAACTGTTTGGACATCACCCTGACATTTGTATAATTCCAGCCACTCCACTGCTGAAAAGGTTCCTCCTTGATTTCAGGAAAGTCATTTATTCCAGGTTGGAGCCACCTCTTTGTCCAATGCCACTGCACTTAACTGGGAAATCTTCAAAGCCTTATGAGCCTCTGACTGCAGTTTTTCAGAGCCTGTGCAAATGCCTCAGGGATTTGTTCTCTTTTGAACATCTTTGGGGACTATGTCCTCTCCCCTTGCCATGGGCAGGGACACCTTCCACTAGCCCAGGTTGCTCTAAGCTCTGCCCAACCTGGCATGGAACACTTCCAGGGATGGAGCAGCCACAGCTTCTCTGGGCAACCTGTGCCAGTGCTTCAGCACCTCACAGGGAAGAATTTCTTCCTGATATCCCATCTAACTCTGCCTTCTGGCCATGTGTGAAGCCATTCCTCTTGTCCTGGCATTCCATGTCCTTGTCAAAGTCTTTCTCATGATCTGATCCTTCCAGTCTGATCCCTTGGGATGTCCTTCCCTTCTGATGCCTCACTGCCACCCTGTGGCTATTCCACAATGTTCAGGTTCCATTTTTAAGGCCAAACTGTGAAGCCAAAGGATTTCCACTAACTGGCAATTTGGGACTGATGTTGTTCCCAAAAGGTGTGTTTCAGTGCAGGGTCAGAGAACCTGAAAGGGGTTTTGAACTTGCATTTGAATATTGTTGCGAAATTTTTATATTAATAGGGTTAGGGTAATTAGCCACTGTGGACTGTAAAGAGCAGAGAGTACTTACAGAAACTGAAGTTGTCATGCAGTGTATTTCTCCTCTCAAACTGGAGAACTCTTCTTGAGCCTGGAGAACTTGCAGCAAACTCACCCCATGCAGATCTAGTTATGCTGATCGAAGAGCCCTTATGGTCTTACCCTTTAGGACTGTGAATTTGTTCATCTATATAATCTCTCCTGGTTATTCAGGTAATTGGTTTATTGTATTGAGGATGTTTCCTCTTTATTGTGGCAGAGAAAACACAAGAGTTTCTGACATCTTAGACAGTAAAGTAAACTTAGACACATTATTCTTTAAAAAATGTTAAGTCCAGACCATCCCAGCCCAGGCAGCAGCTCAAATCCATTTGTATTTTCAAAATCAAACATCCAGAAAATGAATGTTCTGATTCTGGGCAAGTTGCTGGGTAACACCAACTACCTCAACATTGTTGGATACTCATGGCCCACTTGACCAACAAGTGGAGTTTCTTCTGCTTACCTCTTTTGCTACAATCCATCTGGTAAGTACTTTCAGAGCTTCGTGAGCTGAGCAGAAGTCTAGTTGTCTTTCTTCAACACATGTTGAAAACACTTGTACTTTTATAGTGTCTTCATGACTAGAGCACTATTATCCAGCAACCAGAGAAGCTTGGGCTGTTCCCTCTTATCAGAGATGGAACACTCAAGAACATCTAGTTCCACCCCGTGCCATGGGCAGGGACACATTCCACTAGCCCAGGTTGCTCCAAGCTTCATCCAGCCTGGCCTGGAACACTCCCAGGGATGGAGCAGCCACAGCTTCTCTGGGCAACCTGTGCCAATGCCTCAGCACCCTCCCAGGGAACAATTTCTCCCCAATCTCACCCTGCCCTCTGGCAGTGTGAAGCCATTCCACCTTGTCCTGTTCCTCCAGGCCCTTGTCCCAAGTCCCTTTCCAGCTCTTCTGGAGCCACCTTAGGCACTCGAAGGGGCTCTAAGGCCTTCCTGGAGATTTCTCTTCTCCAGGTTGAAAAACCCTAACTGTCTCAGCTTGTCTCCAGGGAAGAGGTGCTCCAGCCCCCTGATACAAAGTCATGCAGCTTCCAGAAGTCATGAGTAGACTTGTTTTTCTTTTCCTCCTCATTCTGGTGACAGATCTCTCTCTGCAGCCATGGACAGACATTTGTTCCATGTTTTAGAGAGTGCAGACACTTTCACAGACATATTGTACTCTGATGACAGCAAGAATTGGTAAGATAAGGAATTTTATTATTAGACTTTCCTCCACCAACAGTTCTAATAAAAGGGAAAGAAATGGAGCAGGAAAAAAACAAGGTAAAACAATAACTAAGGCCCATTTTCATTATGCTCTTAATCAGCAGGGTTTTTATTATTATTTTATTATTTCCATTACAATATTCTCCTCTACTTAACAACACTCAGCCTGGGAAGATGCATTTCTTCCACTCCCTCCCAAGTCACTCTCATTTTGGATGTTGATTAGAAAAAGCACCATATGCTCCTCAAAACCAACCCATCCTTTCTGGATACTGATGCCCCTGTCCCTGGCGTAACAGGGTGATGGAGCATCTTCACTAGTGCTGTGGCAAGTGCTATATCCTGCTTTGGCATCTGTAACATTGGTGTGGTAAATGAAAAGACCTTGGGAAAGGCAGTAAGGCTATTGCAATAAATCACACAACACATCCCATCCTTGGGGTGTGTTTTGAAGGCACATCATCCAAGAGAGGAAGCCCAGCAATGTTCTGGCTGACCAGTGCCTGTGGATGTGCAGCTGACTGAGAAGTTAAACACATTAAAACAGTAGCCTGACCCCTAACACTTTTATAACTTCAGTAGATTTGTCTGCAGCTCAGACAGGAACACCTCATGCTCCATGGGCCAGAAATCATGAGTTCTCTGGTTAACAGATCACTCATCCATTCAGAGGTTCAAAGAAACCAAGGCTTTGTCAGACCACAGACTGATTATGATCATCCTTTTCACAGAATCAGCACAGAATAGTTTGAGTTGGAAAGAACCTCAAAGATTATCTCGTTTCCACCCCTTGCCACAGGCAGGGACACTTTGCACCAGACCAGGTTGCTCCAAGCACCATCCAACCTAGCCTGGAACACTTTTGCTTCCTTAGTCACCCTTGTAGGGATCCCAAGCATGGATGTGACATATTTCTGTCTCTTCTGACTTTCAGTAATGCATCCATAGCACTCCAAAATCTCACACTGTGGAAACCACTTACCCCCTGGGAGGTTCCCAATGGACAAATAACCCAGAAGCTTTCAGAGATGTGGAGGGCAGCATTCCCACAGAATATGGCATGTGGAATAACCTCCTCTTTTCTGTTTCTCTACCTCAATTAAGACTCTAATTAGATCTTTTTCCTCATGCTTATTCCTAGAGAGCTGCTGCCTCCACCTTCTCCACACACATACAAATTGGTTTGGGGTCCCACTAATTACAAACAGCTATTTGAAAACACTGGACCTACCCAATTCCCTAGAGCTTCCACACTGCCCTAACTCCCACGTTCCTTGATTTCACACTGTCTCAACTTCCTTACTACACTCCCCATGAGAGCCACCCCAAAAAGCCTATGTTAGATGAGAAACTTCCCTCCTATATACTCAGCAAATGAAGGAGCAGCAGACAGAAAGAACTCTGTTCCCAGCCCCAAAGCTGTCCCCAGCTTGGTGGAACACAACCTCCTCCATTCAGCTTTTCCCTGTAACTCAGCACCAGAGCAGAGGAATGAAAGAAGCACAAGAAGAATTAAGAGCACATCTTTAAAAATAAAAAAAACAAACCAAAATCATATTAATTACATTCATCAGTGGAACTGAGCAGTGCCACCTCCCCACCTCTGGCTGAGCCAGCTCCCCTCCTCTGGGCAGGATCTTCATGGTGACCACCACAGGAGGCAACAAGGCTGGGGAATTCCTCTGCAAGGATCCACTGCTGCTTATTTATGTAGATAGGCATCAAGCCAGAGCTCCCCTGAATCTTTCAAAGAGCTGCCAAGAGAGAACCACACTTCCTTAAGAACAAGGCAATGAAATATCCTTGTGGGAAGAATTCCCATCTATAGATGAAGCAAATGAGATCATAGAATGGTTTGGGTTGAAAGGACCTTTAGAGGTCATCCAGCCCAACCCCCTGCAATGAGCAGGGACATTCCAGCTCTCTCAGGTTGCTCAGAGATTTTCAGAGGTGAAGCAATGTAGGATACAGATCCTTGGAAGGAGGAAGAAGAAGCAAACCACTGGGGCTTCATCAGACTACAAACACTACTACACTGAGGCTACAAAGACTGGAAGGCTAAAGCAAACAACTGAATTACTTAATTAGAATGAAAACAAAAGGAGTGAGCATGGCAGAGGAGAGCCAAAAGACTTTTTGATGGAGTAATGAATATCTGGGGCAAGGAGGGGAAGAAAGGAGTAACAAAAAAAGAATGGATGACAGCTAAAACTCATCTTTATGAAAACACCTCTTTTCCCTGGAGCATACTCAGAGACAGAGGTGCCAGACCCAGCACCCTGATGACCTCTGACTGTTCAGAGCTGGAGGAGAGCTCTGCATTGAGAAATTACCACTGACACCTTCTGTCTGCGGCGATGGAAACCAGCACTGTGGCTAAACAGAATCCTCTCACAGTCATCTGTACCATCTACAGCTCCTCTGTGATCCAAGCTGGCTGCCCCTCCCCTTCTATGTCCCTCCCATTTCACTCCATTATCCTGGAAAGCCCTTCCTCAGGGAATGCTGAGGGTCAATACATACTGCACGATGTCTGCAAAGGCTGTGAGCAGTGGCTTGCACTGGTACTCAATGCCATGTTTGGCACACAGGGACTTCACCAGAGGAGCCACCTTCCAGTAGTTGTGTCTTGGCATTGTGGGGAACAGGCTGTGGGAAAAAAAGATGGTGATTCAATGGCATCCATCATCACCCCACAGAATTCCTGCCCCTCTTCTCTGCCTAAGTCTGGGAGTGCCCCAACCTCCCCTTGTGCCACAGCCCTGCAATGGTCCCTCTCACGTCACTTCAGTGTCTGTACTAGCTGGTCATTCTCACTCGTGCCATGCAGCTTAAATCTGAAGTGGCACTGGTGCTCACTGGCACTCCAAAAACTTTCTGATCCACCACTTGTGTTCCCATTCCATTCCAATACAAAGAGCACAAAATTTACCCACATTATATTTTGTTCTTCTGTCACCTGACAGAGAGAAAGACAACTTGTAGGCTCTTCAGCCCTCGTGTAACTAGCACTCCTTGAAACTCCCTCACATCCCCAACCCATGCTCCAACTCACTGGTGCTCAATTTGGAAGTTCAGGTGTCCACTAAACCAGTCATTGAAGAAGGACTGATGAACATTACAGGTTGCCTGGAGCTGAGGGTAAAAACAGTGCCATTTGAGGTGTTATTTTAGCAATGTTCCTTCTCAAACACAACAGTGAGCAGGATTCTCATCATCACGTGCCTTCTGGCTGAACACAGTAGCTCCAAGACTTATCTCCAGTCAACACAAGATGGTCAAGTTGAGATAACTGATTGTTAGAGATTTAAGAGAACAGACTTGACCTCCCCAGTGAGATAAGCCACAACAAACACAACTTTCACTTCTCACTTAAAAAATATGTGTCATGACTTCACAACTAAAATAAAACAAAGCACAAGATCATTCATCCATGGAAAGCTGGATGGGCATTGTAGCATCTCTAATTATTTCCCTTGAGGCATCTGTGCTCAGCATTTGAAGCCTCCATCCCACTTCTGCACCTTCTTTCCTTGCACTAATCATTTCACAGTGTGAGGACAAGTTCCTTGTGTTTCCCTCTCTCACCACTTCTGTGATCAGCTCTCTTGGGCTTTACAAACTCAGAACTGGAACTTTTCACCTCAAAGTCAGAGATCTCCATAAATAATGTCTTACCTGGGTAGAGAACCAGTCCACATTCTTGTCATAATCGATGTGCATTGGGATGTGGTTCATTTGTGTAACCCAGACAAACCAGTTACTCTCTATAAATCTGTGAACACACAGAGAAAACCACAAGGGATTGCACAGCCATACCACAACGAGTCAGTACAAAACACCTGTGTACACACGAGGTGCCAAAATGAACACCAGGAACCCCAAACATCTGATCAGCTCAGACCTACACACACCTTCCACCTTCTACAGGCAACAACCTCTGTCTTGCTGAAAGGCAGCAGGAGACAGGACAGGGAGAGATGAGAAAGATAAGCAGGAGGGTGAAGAGAAGCTAACACAAGGGATTGATACAAACTGGGTAAAGAAAATGCTGGAAATAGAAGTTGAGCAGTACCTGACTAAGAGATGGAGCCCCAGGGTGCCCTTCACCCCCAGGAAGGGCAAGTAGGTGAGAAAGAATCGGATGTAGAAGGACAGCATCCAGGCCAAGTCCTGTAGTGTAGGAAACAGAGAAAACTTCATTAATTGGCTTCTGAATTTACCACCCTGTCCCTGTGGACCTGCCTTTAAAACCTCCCATAGTATCTTCTGCTGATGGATTTTTCCTCCCCAGCCCCATCACAAAGCAACCTGACACCAGCTATTCCAGTGCATGGGAATTCTCCTGGTCCTATGAACCCAGCACAGAGAAAACAGCAGACAGGACATGCTCTGAGGCATCCCATTTTCCTCTGGATCTAAAGAGAAACCAAGCTGTAAGAAAACCAAAACCCTAAATAAAGAATGGCCAGAATGACCACTTCTCCCTTAAACTAGACTCTCATGCGACCTGGAGGACAAGTTCAGCTTTGAGAAGGAATAGAGAAGATGGAATGCCTCCAGACACTTGCACACCCTGGACTGAGCCAGAACATCAGAGAACATCTCTTGTTACTCCGTGGATTTTCTCCAGGGGAGAGGGCTGTGTGTAGTAACCTCTCTCCTTTGGCAAACATTATTTCCCAGATCATATATCCTTACCCCTTGTGACAGAGATACACAGCTTAGAGTTCCTCCCAGTAAATCTTGCACCGAAATATAACCATAACCCAAGGAGAACTCACCCCTGGCACTGCAGAACTGACTTACCACCCACTGCTTCCGCTGCACCGCGAAGTAGAAGATGTACCACTGGAAGTAGAGAGGCACCAGGGCTGGGGGACCAACTAGAGTGGAGAAACAGATTGCAGAGACATTAGGAGTGCCCTTTATCCCAGTGATGTTTTACTGCCAGGACAAGGCAGGGGTTGAGTGCCCATGGAACTGCAGAGGGGTAGGGTTACTCACTGATGAAGAAGTACTTGTGCTGGTGGTTGTAAGGCATGAATTTCTTCTTTTGCACACCAAGCTGTTGAAATACACACATTACTCAGGCCATGAAGGCATCTAAAGGCACCTGTGCACACACCTATGCTTTTGAAGACACACATACTTAGGTATCTAAGGAGATGTTCTATCAAACCATGCCAACGTCCACCTCGCCACTGGCTTCATCCTCCCCTGGAACCTGTCTGTGACTGCCACAAGGAGTTTTCATCCTGCCTTGGGTGCACATGAGGCTGACACAGACAGTGACCTGCACAGGAAGCTCTATCCCTACAGAGGGCACAAGTTGCCTAAAAATACTTCAATCCAAACCCACACAAGGCACTGAGAACAGTTTGCTGACAAAACAGAGCTTCAGAGGAAAAAAACCCAACCCAAGATACTATCATGATACTATTAATAAAGATGACAGTGTGTAGAGCTCCCACCTACTTGCAGTTAGTCTCCAAGGGAGAGAAATGAGCATGTAGACACTAAACTGTGGCCACAGAGATGAGGGTGAATAAATTATCCCCCCTCTGAGACTGCTAGTTTTTCACTGTTTGCTATATAAACATAACAGATCATATCACTGACTTCCTTGAGGAGCTCCATTATATCCCTGTTCATGTCCAAACCAACTCCCAATAGCTCTTCCCTCAATTTCAATGCAAACCAGAGCATTTAAAGTGACACTGTGAATTTATAGAATGATTTTTAAAGAACCAGCAAATGCCAAAACCAGTCAATTATCTACAGAGCTGGACCAGAAACAGAGCTGGACCACAGGTGGGAGCCACTCTCACACCCACTGTCAGGCTGAGACCACCCAAATAGCTTCTTTGATCAGTAACTGTACAAGTTCCAGACAGCCTTGGCTTGTCACCTGCTGCTTCATTCCCCAAACCACCACAATTAGTCCCACTGAGCTTGGGAAAGGGAATAACCCGGAATTTTATCTTCACCCCACTGCAAGTCTCTCATCAGGGAAATATGAACTTGGAATCATGGCAAATATTTGATTCTTATTTTCAAACACAGCAAGAATAACTTCTAGTGAAATTTGAAGAACATAAAGATCTCACACGTATTGAAATATTGTGTTACCAAGGAACATTAGGGACTAGTGGAAGGCAAAGTGGCACTATATGAAACTCGCTGGCCAAACCAATTGGTCTCTAGTTTCCAAGTTCTCTGCAGCTATCGAAATGTAAATCCTGCTGCTGTAACCTCTAAGCTTTTATCAGGTCTCACCTCTACAGAGAGGGTTTTTCCCAAAGCAAAAAACAAGGGATGCATGTTGACATCAGGGTCCTTGCGGAAGCAGTTGGGTTTAGCGTGGTGCTGGAAGTGGAGGTGATTCCACCAGCTGGCTGGGGCTCCCTGCAGGAAGGGATGAGAAGAAGTTATATCTTCTGCCCTTAGTCCTCCCTCCCCAGTAGCATCTTGGACTTGCTTTCTCCTTAGCCTGGGACTGGTTTTGGCTGCAGAGCAAGGCTCTAGCAGCCACTCCCAGCACCCACCTTCAGGTGGCCGATCACGAACTTGTGCACCCAGTGGTTCCACCTGGACTTGCTGAAGACTGAGAGGTGTCCAAAATCATGCTGCAGCCAGCCAGCCTGGGCCTGAATTAAAAAAACAACAGTGCTGCTGGGGAAAAAGAAGTGTCAGGAAGGTCTGCAGCTGAAAAGAGCTTTCTTCTCCCACTCCCACGCTCCTCACAACATATCCCTGGATAGCAAGAGGACTTCTACTACTAGGACCCAATCCAAACACTCCTCTTTTACTATAAACCAGTGCACTCCAGACTTTGTCTAATGACTTATAGTCTTGGATAGTTGTTTTCATGAGGAAGAAAAAAAATCATGGGAAAAAAACAGCCACAGAGCTCAGAAACAGCATTTATTCCCTCACAAAACTGCACAGAAACCAGCAACAAAGTCTCCTTTAAGAAGCAGCTTGCTGCTGCCTCCTCCGAGTACTTGTAATTCCAAGGGGATCAGCTGGCCACGGAGGAATAGCTGGGGCTTTGAGAGCTGCTCTGCCCTCTCCTCTAACTCCCTGCAAGTTCCCATGGGAACACGGTGGTTTGGCCCCTGCACACAGCCCTGGAGTTCTGGCACAGGGGACCTCAGCAGCAGAGCATGGCTTTCATGGGGTAAGGCTGGAATAAGGAGGGCTTTGATGGAATACAGGAAGGAAAAAGCAGGGCAAAGCCTGCTCTGTCACAGCAGCATGCTGTGGCTCTGTAGTTTTGCACCTTTGGTGGAACCCAGGAAGAAGGAGGATTTTGGGAAGCCCATGACAAGATTTCTCCTGTGCTTATGGCAATGAGCACTTAAGCCTTAAATTTAGCTTTTGGGGTTTATTTTGCCTCACTGCTTACCTGGACAGTGCCTAGAAGCACTGCAGAGAAGAGGAAAGGGAGTGTGGATGCTCCAAAATACCAGATGATGAGCCAAGCTGCAACATCCAACAGCAAGATGTGGCAGAGATACAGGAGGAAGAAGGTGTGGTTGGGGGTGAGCAGTCCCATCTTCTCCACGGTCGCACGGAGCTCACGGAAATCTTCCACCAGCTTTTTCTGTGGGGAGACACAAAAGGATCTGCTGGTTGGAAAAGACCTCAGGAACTCAAAGAATAGCTCAGTTTCCCCTCTCAAGGATGAAAAGGGTTGAGAGTCACCTGGAGACAAATCTTCACTAAAAATACTAATAGTGACATGAAATGAAGTTTCAGCCAATATGGTGATTCCAGGAGATACTATGATGTTACATACAGGGAATTCTGGCTGCCAGTATGAGAAGTTAACTATCACAATTTCAACCCAAATACCAGATTTTTAAGATACTTACATTCTTGCTGGGCTCAAAGCTGGGTTGATCTGGTGCCAGTTCCCCAATCAGGAGTGGGCTCATGTACTTTCTTACCAGTGTCTTGTCAAGATGAAATGCTATGAAAGGATCCTGAAACACAGACACAGGATATCTCATCTCCTGTTGAACCCCAAGATACATCACCTCAGCCACATACTCCTCTGTCTCTGTTTTGTCTTTAGCTTGCATCTTAATCTTCCTCAAGCCCCACATCCTGAAATGAAAGTCTGACTAGGGAAAACTGCAAGATGTTGGCACAGGAATCAAATCAGCCAGGTGAACTGGGAAAAAGAACAGGAAAAGAAGGACACATGGCAGCTTCTGGTGACCCACAGCTGTCCCTCAAAAGCCTCATGTTGTTCCAAACATGCTTCCCTGGCAATCCCCAACACCCACTCTGCCACATCTCCCTAGAAAGTTTTGCTTTTTTGTTACCTGTTTTGTTCCCCATCTGGTTCCCCTTTGTGTTTCTGAAGATTCCCAAGGAAAAGGCCTTTTTCCACCCTTACCATTCAAAAGATTTCTGTTAGGGAAATCAACAACTTTTACAACTTAAATGTAATGTCAATCTCCATGGCAACCAGGTGAAAAAAATCACTGGTAACTGTTATCACTATAGATTCTATCCCTGTATTTAGATTACAAATGCCCTGAGCACACATGGCAGTTTGAAATCTAATTCCTACTGAAGTTCTCCCATTCATCTCCTTTTCCATATTTCTCTCCTGGTGTCCAAACCAGCACGTATTTACAATCTTCCTCATCCTGAGGATGTTTTTGTTCTTTTCTGAGGCAATATTTGCCCTCTGTGCATCACTTTGTAAGCTTCCTGCACAGTCTTAATCACTGTAATTACTAGGTCATCATTGAGTGCTTTTAAAATAAATTGTGCTTTAAAATGATCTCCAGTCAGGAAAGGGGTTAAAAAAGTGGCTGATGTTGCCAGCTCTGGGAGAGCAGCAACATCCTCCCTGCTCAGGCTCACATGAATAAAGGAGGGAAGGCAGAGGGGAACCAACATTTGCATTTTCTCATTGGAAAGGGAGAAAAAAATGGGGAGGAGTATGTGGGCAGATCAGAGGAGGATGGTACCACACATTCAGACCAATCCTTTCCATGCAGGCTGTAAAACCTGGCAGTGCAATCCCAGCTGGAGGTTAAGGGACGGCTGATTGCACCCTCTAGAAATCACAACACTCCGGTGGCATCCAGCAACCAAAATGTGTCCTTTCTTTACTTTCCATTTTCCCCTGGTTTTCAGGAGTCTCATTCTTTTCATTCCTGGGACAAAACCATTGGAAAATCAAACTTGGCAGGGGTTCCTGAGTAGTCAGCAGTTCAGCTGCACCCAGCAGTGCCACTGATGATATCACCTAAAGAATGCAGCTGGCTGCAGTCTGACCATCCAACCGTGCTCAGCCCCATGTGCTGATCCGTTTCTGATCACAGGATGTTTGGGTGGGAAGGGTCCTTCAGACCTCATCTCATTCCAACCTCCTTCCACTAGACAACTTGCTTCAAGCCTCATCCAACCTGGTCTGGAACACTTCCAGGGATGGGGTAGCCACAGCTTCTTTGGGCAACCTGTGCCAGTGAAGTGGCTTTGAAAATGCACATGTGCATCCTGACCTCACGAAACATGTGCTAATTCACATCCCACACACCCCCCGGGTCCAAATATGTACGTTTGGAGAAATTCATTTTCTTCCATGAAAGACAGAAGCAGACAAAGGAGAGAAACACTGACAAAGTCACCCCACACCCAACTCAAACAGCTTCACTCCACTGTGCAACAGTCGTTGACATGCAGACGCGAATGATTCATTCGGTTCATGACTGAAATACGACTTTCAGTGAATATTCTGCACCGGTGCCATCTCCTGGAAACACAGTGCTGGGCTTTAAAGTTTGGGGAGGCTGAATGCATCAGTGCACTCGCAAACAACAACTCTGCGCGGACACAGCAGAGTCACCGCGACACGGCGTGTGTCCCACGGGTAAAACCGGAGTGTTTATGGCCTCTCTGACTCGATGCGTGCAGAAATCATTGGTGTTTTTCCCCCGGCAGGAGACGCCCTATTTGCGCGCTTTTTAGCCATTCCTTCAGGAATGTTTCCTCGTAAAAACAGTCCCCGGGGAGCGCAGAGGAGCGCGGGGCCAGCACGTTCCTTCGCATACAGGGGGTAACTCGCACTGACGCGTGTGTGTAAGAGCCGAGTATGCCTCTCTCCATT